TCGAATGTCTTGTTCCCTTGTTTTCATTCTGTGGTGACACCCCTTCGTGAATTGCGGTTTCGCGATCACGGCCGCGATTGTTCCTCGTCGACGTGGTCGCAAGGTGCGCGACAGGAGGAGGAGGAGGAGGAGGAGGAGGAGGATCTCTGAAAGCCTCGCCTCTTCCCTGACCTATTTCCCAGTTTGCGCTCTTCTCGCCCTTCACTCCGCGTGCGCGCGCGCGCGCACGCGTGCACGCATGCGAGCACGTGCGTGCGAATTTCGCGTGTGCGACAGTCGTCTTACTCGTGTATCGTTCGTTTCACGGATTCTCAATGTGAGACTGTCATCGCAAAATTTGATCTGTGACTTGATTAAATTAACACGACTTATCTCTCCCCCCTCCCTCCTCCCCCTTCACCTGTCGCATCCCGGAGTCGACATCCTCGTTAAATCGGCCGCAGGTCGATCCGCATGGTCGTGTAGCGGCCACGTTTCCGCGAGCGAGGCGCCCGCATCGTTGCGTCCACACCTGCGTTTGGATACGCGACATCCGCGTTAACGGCACCACGTAGGTCAGCATAGCTGCACGGGTGAACGCCACTCGCCAACGCGGCGTTATTTCCGGCCTTCTAGAGCCCTTCGTGCTTTCTTTGCACTTTCGCAACGCTCGCTATGCCCCGTCGTGCACCTCCGTTGCTCGACGAGGATGCCTGGCAGCCTTCCTCGTCCGCCCTCCCATCCCCACCCTCGTCAGCCGCAGCGGCAGCAGCAGCAGCAGCAGGTGTACCTGGTTGTGCAGCGACCACGTGCGTCGCCAAGGTCGACGACTATCGGTACGCGACTACCGGTCCCTCGATCCGTCCGGCGCAGCCTTACGCAATCGCCGTCGGAATCTGCGGCCGCTGAGCGGCCCACGCGATCGCGCGCGAAGGGATTTCTTCCCTGGCGCAAGACGGGAGAAGCCAACGGAACGGAATTGCCAGTCGCGATTCGCGGATCTCTATCTCGCGTGTGGAATTTGCCGGTAGGGATGCCGAGTAGTGATACGGCGCGCGTAGGCCTCCGTGACGCGTGATCGCGTGAGTGACATAACAGAGCCGCGAGAGATACACGGTGTCCCGGTGTCGATCGGTGTCGGGTGTCGGGTCCGGGATAACGCTCGTGTGATACGCGATACGCGAGAGCTGTAATCGCGGCCGAGGCCGAGGGCAAAACAGCGCGCCGCGATCGATCGGCGTCAGCGCCGGCGGAGGCGGCACTCCGTGAAGCGGAAGATGCCCGTTGTATACCGTTGTGTATGCTGATGAACGACGTTCGAGAGAAACGACCGGCGATCCGAACACACGTACACGTCGAGTGATTCTCACGCTCACGGTTCGCGGGGATACGCGACGCACGACAGCAGGATGAAGGAAACACGCGCGAGGCCAGTCGCGCCGCCGTCGACGGGGATCACGGACGATCCCGTTTACGTATCGTAATGGAGAAACGACGATGAACGACAATGGGTCAGCAAGGATCGAAGGACAGAGCCCTCCCGAGGAGGACGGACTTCGCCCGGGACTCGGCGAAGATGCGGCTGGGCAGCTTCAAACGAGGTAGACGGGAATTGGATTTGGCGTTTCGCCTAACGGTGATTCTTCCGGCGTGTGCATTGTACGCGGTAGTCGGCTCCCGATGGCCACCTGCTGTTTTCTTTAGCCGGCCGACCATCGCGTTTTCTCTTCTGGATTTTATTAATCTGTTCTCACGAGATCTCATGTGCCGTCGCCTCTTTACGATGTTTCACGTGTACTTCCGATTTGTTTCCAGAGAGATCGCCGACGTCCGCGAACCCGCCCCGGAGATTCGTCTCAAATGGCCATGCTAATCATCATCCGGTCCGCGTCAACAGTTTCGACGCGAAGAAGAATTGCATCGACGTGGCGACGGTGGAACTCGGTAAATATATATATATATATATATATATATATATATATATATATATATATATAT